CATGGAGAACTTACCGTACAAGGAGTGGAAGGCGGAGAATCAAGCGAAGATTGGTGTGCGGATTGGAGAGGTGAAGAGTACCGGCTTGGAGCATGTGGAGCTGCCTTTGGACCTGAGTAGCAGCAGCACAATCACGAGGCAATCTCCTCAAATGAATGGGGGAGAAGTGTAGGAGGAGGTGCAGCAAGGTGATGAGCGTGCACTGTCACTGCTGCCTCGTGCAACAAGTGCTCGCGGGAACCGACTAGATTTGTAGCAACGCCATGAGAGCATCCAAGTCCCTGGAGCAGAGGAGAAAGGAAGGGGGAGAAGGAAGACTCAGCCCCTCAATAGGTTGAGCTATGATCGGCTTGGAAGACCAGCCAACTCAACCTTGACCGGTTCGGCTCTCATGCTAGGCGATGATGGGGAAGATGAAAGCGAGTGCGCTTTTGCCTTCTTCTCTCTGGTGGAGATGCCAGGGGAGCCTACAAATCCCAAGGAAACTTGGGAGGGTCCCAATGGGAAGGAGTGGAAGAAGGCCTCAGATGAAGAAATGGGGAGCATCATAGAGATTGACACATGTGACTTGGTGAACCTACCTCCGGGGCGGAAGGCGATCTCTTCCAAGTGCCTCTTCAAGCGCAAGACTGATGCCGACGGCTACAAAAACAGAAGTGTAGCCAAGGGGTACCAGCAGCAAGAGAAAAAGGACTACCATGAAGTATATGCCCCTGTGGTGAAGGGTACAACCCTTCGAACTCTCTTCGCCGCGGCGTCTATCAAAGGATGGGTGGTGAAGCAAATGAATATCGTAACGGCCTTCCTCAACGGAGTTTTGGAGTAAGAGACCTATATGGAGCAGCCAGAGGGGTACAATGATGGGAGTGGCAGAGTGTGGAAGCTGAAGAAAGCACTCTATGGCCTCAAGCAAGCCCCTAGGCAATGGTACATCAAGCTGCGGGAAGTCTTGGAGGCGATCGGCTTCACTCCCTCAACGGTCATCAATCCATGTTCATGCTTGGCAAGGGGGAGCAGAGGAGCTTCATGGTGATTTATGTGGATGACATCCTCATATTCTCACCCTGTTCTGACCTTGTGAAAGAGGTGATGCTGAAGCTTCTGTTATAATCACAATAGGCTCGGATGTGCCTAGAATGAGAGAGAGAGAGAGCACTGTCGGATTTCCGTCAGACCGCTTCAAATATGAAGAACGATCTGATCTAAGACTCAAACGGTGATTTGTAAGTAGGATCTGGAACGCGATAATTTCTTCTATCAGCAGCAAATTGAAATTCCATAAAGATTTGAGGACGCTATGACGGTTTGACTGGCAGGAGGTATAGCAGCCACTATAGTCTTAGAAGTACATTTTTAGCAAGAAGATTCGAGATTGAGATGGTTCCCAGCCTCTATAAGCCCCAAGAGCCGAGTTCCAGGTTGGTGGTACACCACCTCAGAGTCCCCCACCACGAAAGGACTCGAAACAAACTCAACAATGGGCTGTACCGAGTGAAATGTACTGTATCACTATATGAAGTAGCATTACTATTTTCACTATTGTAATATATATCCACTTCCCTTGGGCTTGAAATCTTGAGCTCTTGGTCTTGATTCTGCAAGATAAATTCTCGACTATTTTGTCGAGTGTGAAGTGCCCATTGCGTCGCAAGTGAGTGTAGCAAGCCCCCATCAAGTCAAGATTAATTTATCTTGCAGAACCAAGACCAAGAGCTCAAGATTTCAAGCCCAAGGGACGCGGATAATGTTTAATAGAGTGAAAATAGTAACGCTACTTCGTGTGGTGTTAATTTTCACTTTGTGTAGCCCCTTGGAGGGTTTGTTTCGAGACTCTTCATGGTTGGGAACTCTATGGTGGTCTACCAACAACCTGGACTTTGGCTCTTGGGGTATGTAGAGGCTGAGAACCATTTCAATCTCGATTCTTCTTGCTAAGTTTGTACTTCTAAGACTATAGTGGCTGCTATACCTCCTGCCAGTCAAACCACTATAACGTCGTCAAATCTTCATGGAATTTCATGATTCAACTTGCTGCTGATAGGCGACAAAAACGCGCTCCAGATCCAATTTATAGATCACCGTTTGAGTCACCGATAAGATCGTTATCAATATTTGAAGCCGTCTAACGGAAATCCAACTATGCTCTCTATCTCTCATTTATGGCACATCTGAGCCTATTGTGGTTATAACAACAGCCATGCATGATGTGTTGTTCCATGGGGGACCAGCGTCTTGTGCAAGCACTTCATAGGCCTTGACAGAATCAGTCCACGTGGCACCTTCGTGCCAAGCACTGCCACCATTCCCCCCGTCTTTTCGTAAGCTCTCAAAGCATTGTTTCACTTCGTCGTAGTTCCTAGCATCACCTTGTCACCATGGCAAATGCTGATGATGGGGCTCCCAAAAGAGGATGTTGATGGCCAGGATGTTTTCCTGACAGAGGCTCATTCAGGATTAGACACGCTACTTCTAGCCTTGCAAATTTGCAAAGCACACCCTAAATGGTTGACTGTCGTCCTACCCCCGCCGCTATTGTCCAAACGACAGCTTCCATTTTGGAACCCGCTGACGAAACCCCTTCCGCTGCCATAGTTCGACCGTTGAAAACCCTTTCGCAAGTCGGTGACTCTTCCATGGCCACCACATAAAAGCCAGCCAGCCGCAATAGGCAAGCTGTTCTGCCATTCGGCCAGCCCTAGGAAAAGCAGCACCCCCCGCCTGAGCGACCGTCACCCAACAAGGTTGACCTCGACGACGATGGGCCGCCTCTATCGACAACCAAGCTTGCGCCTCCAGACAAGCTCTACGCGGAGGCATACAGCAAGTTCAAAATACGCTGCCCATCGTGTTTCCTGTGGCTGTTGATTTTTGAAAAATTATCCTTAACTCCCTGCATTCCAGTGCTCTCTCTACCTCGAGCGTGCAGGTCTCAAGGGAAAAGCGAGGAAGCGTGACCCAGGTCTGGATGACATGCAGACTCAGGCATTTACAAGGCACATTGGGTCTGGCAAGCATCAGCTCGTACAGCAAACGCAGCACAAACTTTTGTAGGAGGCAATGAAGCTGTTGCGGATCGATCAACACCCCCTTTATCGGGACCTGGAGAGTGAGCATGTCAGTGCCTTGCTGGACGCTCTCTGGTTTTGCTGCAAGACAAACAAGCCAGCGAAGACTTGGATCCAGCTCGTTCAGTTCCTTGCTAAGAAAAATTTGCTTGGCTTCCTGCAGAAGGCGCACGACACTTACTATAACATGTATGTTTACCATGTTGGCTTATAGTGTTCCCTCTACTTTTGCCAATACTGAAACCTTGATTCTCCTTCTAGAACTCCCCTTCTAGTGTGCTTAGCATTTCCTTGCAGGTACGGCTTCGGCGACTTCATGATGTCGAATGCAACTTGGCTTCTAACAGCACAGCTACGGCACCTTCTCACGAGCCCATGTGTTGGCCCCATGTTGGACAAAAGCACCGACACATGCCATGGAAAGCATCTGATCGTCTACGCGCCTCAAAAACAGGCTGGTGTGGGATTACCTGGCACTGCTAACCATGGACAAGGCTGACGCAGCTTCCCTGCTCACCCTGCTGCTCTTTCATCTCAATGCCATCGGTGTTGACCTGCAACGGGTGTCCGGCATCAGCACCGACGGGACGGCCGTCATGATGGGTGCCAAGAGTGGGCTCATCACTCGTCTGCGCCAACAAGTTCCGCACCTTATGTCATGTCACAGAATAGCATACAGGTAAGTGAGCATGTTTGAGTATGCTGTTTGTTGCAGTGTTTTTTTCTATGATGTGATGCTATCTTTCGCCTTTGTAACCAACTCTCACTGAAACATCTTGTTGAGCTGTCTCTTGTGGGGAAGCCCTAGCAGCAAATGCGGCAGCAGAGGACCTTCCAGTGTTTCAGATTGTTGACGACTTCATGAAGGAGCTGGCGAAGTACTTCGGAAGGTCTCGCCCGTGACATCAACGATTCCTCAACGATCTCGGAAGGAGATTCTTCCCTAAGCGTGTTTTTGTTTCCATTGTTTCTTGCAGCTTGCTCCCGGCTGCTTGTCCCCTGTTCCCAGTTCCTTTGTTGGTTGTTCTCGATTCCTTCCGTAGATCGCAATTCCTTGTTCCCAGTCCCCTGTCCAAACCTTTGCACCAAGCATTTTTCTCACTTCTCTACCCCACGTTTGTGGCAGACATTGACAAACACCAAGCACTAAGGGAGCTGCCATGCTTCACGCCCATCATTGCTGCACTCCCCAAGAGCGACAAGGGATTCCATGCCAGCCTCACCGCAATGCTGAAGACAGTAGACTGGCCGGATTTGTATCCCAACGTGATGAAGCTGTGGGTGGCCATGGCCGTGCTTACTCTGAGCATGGTAGAATGCGAGCGGGGGTTTTCGCGTCAGAATGTCATCAAGAGCTGGCTGCAGGACAGCCTGAAGGACACTCTTTAAGGCGACTTGATATGCATTAGTCTTCTGGATTGTGAGCCCAAGAGAGATGAGTTTTTGCATGTGGAGGGCGTATAAGAAGAGAAAACCATTTAGCAATGCACCACAGACTAGAGTCATGAGAAGCAAGGCGAGGAGATGGAGGAGGAGGAGTCGGTAGACTATATGGATGACTTGCATGCAATGAAATACCTATGAGAGTAGTTGAACTGTACTATAGGAAACCAGAAACAGTGAGTGCTGAATAATTATGTGTTTCTTAAAAAAAAAAAGACTTGATCATTCAGCAAAAAATGTTCCCAAAATCCTTAAAATTCAGGGGAAAATCAAAGTAGGGCTCTGACTCATCAAGGGGGCTCAAAACCAATCTAGGGGCCACTGGCAAGCACGTTGCCGATGTCCTGGAGTTGAGTTCTAATGGAGGAGTCCATGTCAGCTCAAAGTAATTGTGTAACAATGTAAAGAAGTAATTGTGTGAATAGTTGATAATTTGTGAATACAAACAAGGTTTAAATAGAATGCAAGAACGGCTGTGCAAAAGTAGTTTGTGAGTCAATTGGAGAATATGTGTCAAAACTGGAGTTACATGTAGCAGTTGGAAATCCTATATAGATTGTGAAGAGATAAGGATGGGATGGGTTGGATTATGCCAGGCCCTCACATTGGATTTGAACCATCCTGATTGATGGCAAAAGAAATAAAGAAAGAAAAAAATCTGTCATGGTCGATACCGGACCCACCCCTGAATTTCCAGGGCTGACACTCATGCATCAGGGCCGACACTAATTTTCCCATATTGTGAAGTTGTCCTATCATCGCTGTGTTGTCAACTCCTGAGAAGTGTTAAACAGAACGTATCGGGTTATAATATGGAAGAATTACATTGTCGTTACAAGCAGCCAGCAGGTAACAAATATAATAGCCTCCTAGCTCAATGGAGCTTGGCCATTGGTCGAACTGCAGAGATTCCTCCACATTATCAATGATCCTGGCAGGTAACTAAACATAACGTAACCAAGTTCGACTACACGTACTAGACTACTCGTCCTCGTCGTCCCAGCAGTTCTCACGGGCATCACCAACCAGCTCACTATCCTCTGCCTCCTCCTCCTCCTCCTCCTCCTCCTCTTCCTCCTCCTCCTCCTCCTCCTCCTCCTCCTCCTCCTCCTCCTCCTCCTCCTCCTCCTCCTCCTCCTATTCCTCCTCCTCATCCTCCTCATCCTCCTCCTCCTCCTCATCCTCCTCCTCCTCCTCCTCCTCCTCCTCCTCCTCCTCCTCCTCCACCTCCTCCTCCACCTCCTCCTCCTCCTCCTCCTCCTCCTCCTCCTCCTCCTCCTCCTCCTCCTCCTCCTCCTCCTCCTCCTCCTCCTCCTCCTCCTCATCCTCTTCCTCCTCCTCCTCTTCCTCCTCCTCCTCCTCCTCCTCCTCCTCCTCCTCCTCCTCCTCCTCCTCCTCCTCCTCCTCCTCCTCCTCCTCCTCCTCCTCTCCTCCTCCTCTGCTGGCATGTCTACGGCCTTCTATATCCCCTTCTTGCTAGCATGCTGCTTCTTCAACCGTGCATTCAGGCAGAAGGGCTTCCTCTTCTTGTAACTACGCCAGGTGCCCACAACTTTGTCCCAGTTTGGATCATACTTTAGAAGGGCCATGGCCATGAGGTCAGAGAGCCATGCATCCTTGTTTGCTCCTCTCTGCTAGCTTTTGATTACATTCTATCTGGACAACCTCCTCTCGCACTTGATGGTACTGCAATCCACAGCTTGACTAAGTTGGGGTACACATCCTACTAGTCAGGAGTCTTGAGCATCTGTTATAATCACAATAGGCTCAGATGTGCCTAAAATTAGAGAAATTGTGCACAGTCAGAATTCCGTTAGACAGCTTTAAATGCTGATCCTGATCTGATTTGTGCCTCAAACGGTGATTTGTAAATTGAATCTGGAGCGCGTTGCTGTCGCCTATCAGCAGCAAGTTGAAACATAAACTTCCATGAAGATTTGACGACGCTATGGCGATTTGAAAGGCAAGAGGTACAGCAGCCACTATTGTCTTAGAAGTACAAATAATTTAGGAAGAAAAATTCGAGATGGAGATGATTCCCAGCCTCTACATACCCCAAGAGCCGAGGTCCAGGTTGGTGGTACACCACCACAGAGTCCCCAACCACGAAGAGTCTCGAAACCAACCCTCCAAGGGGCTACACCAAGTGAAATGTAACAGTACACGAAGTAACGTTACTATTTTCACTATTTAATTTTTATCCGCGTCCCTTGGGCTTGAAATCTTGAGCTCTTGGTCTTGATTCTGCAAGATAAATTATTCTTGAGTTGATGAGGGCTTGTTGCACACACCTGCGGCGCGATGGACACTTCACACTCGACAAAATAGAAAAACACATGCGACACGCAAACGACGACTTGACATGCGAGTTGTGAAAACTCGCTAATGTCTTGACCGACACAAACCACATTGTGATACACCATTCAAACACACACACAAGCACTAGATAGCAATGACATAGACTCACAAGTCATTCCATGCCATGCATGCACACACACAAACAAGGCGACAAGCCGAGTGCAAGCCATAGGGTCGCACCAACAAACTCCCCCTCGGATTGTTGGCCTTAGAATCTGCTCCCCTTAGTTCAGAGCCATCCCAGCAAGCTTGCAACACTTCCAATGCTGCTGCTCAACCAGCCTCTTGGTCATCATGTCAGCTGGCTGCGCCATCGTCTTCACTTAGTGCAACTCCACTTCACCCGCGGTTACCATGCTCCTCACCCAATGCCACTTCACCTTCATGTGCTTCGTAAGGCCATGAAGTACGGGGTTCTTAGCCAATGCAATAGCACCCTGGCTATCACAATAGAGTGGGGTAGGTCCTTGCTGCTCCTCCCCCAATTCAGCTAGCAAACGCCGCTGCCACACAACCTCTCTTATGGCACGGAAGAGTGCCATGTACTCGGACTCCACCGAGCTCAATGCTTGGTCCACTTGTTTCTTGCTCTCCCAAGCTGTTGGCCCTCCACCAACACAGCAGATGAAGCCTTCCACACTTGTCATGTCCTCTGGTTCTGATGCCCAAGATGCATCAGAGAAGGCGGTGAGAAAGAGCCTCCCGGGTTCGACTCCATCCGCACCCTTTTGACGCCTTTGTGCCGCCGCGGAGTATTGCAGTCCAACAGTTGCTGTTTGGCCAAGGTACTTGGCCACCCTCTCTCCAGCTGCTACCTGCTCTTCATTAGGGCATTGGACAACCCTAGCCAGCTGCCCGGTAGCAAAGGCTGCATCCGGCCTTGTGTGAACGGCCGCATACATGAGGCTGCCCACTAAGTAGTGAAAACGCCGCCTCTCCTCTTCACCAACACTTTCCTCCGCTGGTCCTTTCACACACTTGAACCCTGAGGGAAGAGGAGTAGCCACATGACCTTCACTGTTCCCAAAGTTTGTAGCCAATGCCTCCAAGTACTTCTTTTGATGCACTCGCATCCACCGCTTCTCCACATCTCGCTCAATGTGAAGGCCAAGGTAGTAGTTGACGTCACCAAGGGTCTTGCACTTGAACTTGTCTTGAAGCTTCAGCATCACCTCCTTCACAAGGTCAGAAGAGGGTGAGAATATAAGGATGGCATCCACATAAACCACCATGAAGCTCCTCTGCTCCCCCTCGCCAAGCATGAACAACGATTGATCGGCCGTTGAGGGAGTGAAGCCGATCGCCTCCAAGACTTCCCGCAGCTTGATGTACCATTGCCTAGGGGCTTGCTTGAGGCCATAGAGTGCTTTCTTCAGCTTCCACACTCTGCCACTCCCATCATTATACCCCTCTGGCTGCTCCATGTAGGTCTCTTCCTCCAAAACGCCGTTGAGGAAGGCCGTTACTATATCCATTTGCTTCACCACCCATCCTTTGATGGCCGCCGCGGTGAAGAGGGTTCGAAGGGTTGTACCCTTCACCACAGGGGCATACACTTCATTGTAGTCCTTCTTCTCTTGCTGCTGATACCCCTTGGCTACAAGTCTGCTCTTGTAGCGCTCCATGTTGCCGTCGGCGTCGGTCTTGCGCTTGAAGAGGCACTTGGAAGAAATCACCTTACGCCCCAAAGGTAGGTTCACCAAGTCAAACGTGTCGTTCTCGATGATGCTCCCCATTTCTTCATCTGAGGCCTTCTTCCACTCCTTCCCATTGGGACCCTCCCAAGCCTCCTTGGGATTTGTAGGCTCCCCCGATATCTCCACCGGAGAGAAGAAGGCAAAAGCGCACTCCTCGCTTTCATCTTCCGCATCATCGCCTAGCATGAGGGCCGAACCGGTCAAGGTTGAGTTGGCTGGTCCTCCAAGCCGTTCATAGCTCAACCTATTGGGGGGCTGAGTCTTCCTTCTCCCCCTTCCTTCCTCCTCTGCTGCAGGGACTTGGATGCTCTCATGGCGTTGCTGCAAATCTGGTCGGTTCCCTCGAGCACTTGTAGCACGAGGCGGAAGTGACGGTGCACGCTCATCACCTTGCTGCACCTCCTCCTCCTCTTCTCCCCCATTCATTTGAGGAGATTGCCTTGTGATAGTGCTGCTGCTACTCAGCTCCAAGGGCAGCTCCACATGCTCCAAGCCGGTACTCTTCACCTCTCCAAGCCGCACACCAATCTTCGCTTGGTTCTCCGCCTTCCACTCCTTGTACGGTAAGTTCTCCATGAACTTGCAATCTCTGCTCACCAGGAACTTCTTGGTAAATGGGTCCCAAAGAAGCCATCCCTTGCTGTTTTGAGCCATGCCCAGGTGCACGGCCCATGTTGCCTTGGCATCAAGCTTGTTGTGCCGAAGTTTCTTAGGCACAAGTGCCATGCACATGCACCCGAACACCCGAAGCATATCCACCTTCGGCTTCCTTCCAATCCACTCCACTTAGGGCACCCATTTTTCTTCTCCCACGTGAGTCAAGGCTCTGTTCTTGGCCACACAAGCATGCCGCACCGCATCTGGCCAAAAGTAATTGGGAAGACCGGCTTCAACGAGAAGTCCCCGAGCCGTCTCCGTGAGTGTCCGATTCGCACGCTCGGCGATGCCGTTCATTGCAGGAGAGTAGGGCATGGTAAGAGAGTGCCTTATACCCTGCTTCTTCAACCAAGTTGAGAAATCCTTGCTCAGGAACTCTCCCCCACGGTCAGTGCAAATTGCCTTCACAAGTCGGTCTTGTTGCCGCTCCACCATTGGCAACCAATCGGTCTTCACCGTTTCAGCTACGTCACTCCTCTTGGGCAGCACATACACCCAAGTCATGCGAGTGTAGACGTCCACAATGGTGAGGAAGTACTCAGCTCCAGCAGCTCCAAGCTTCAAGGGGCCCACCACATCCATCACCACCTCATCAAGTGGTGCCTTCGCCGTTGTCTCTGACCTATTTAACGGGTAGCGGGTGAACTTGGCTTAAATGCATGTTGGACAGCCAAGCACCTCATTGGGCCCCCCTTGACACATATCCCATTGACCATCTCTTGCTTAACTATCTGCTGTGAAATGGGCAATGTCACATGCCCCATTCGCCGATGCAAGGTCAGCCAATCACACTCTCCCGTAGCAGAAGTCGGGTTGGAGAAAGCGGCACTCGCAATTGTGCCCCACAAGCTCTCTCCTTTCCCCTTCGCCGCTGCTGCTTTGCTGATCTTAGGCTTCTCCTCCTCATTTCCACCACCTTTGGCTGCTGCACCACTCTCCTTGGGTTCACACGCCTTGCTGGTCTCTCCAAGGTTGCACTCCTTCGAGTCACTCTTGGTGTCATTTTGCTTTCCGTGACAGCGGAAAAGAGAGACTGGGGAAAGAGAGACTGGGGAAAGAGAGACTGGGAAAAGAGAGACTGGGGAAAGAGAGACTGGGGAAAGAGAGACTGGGGAAAGAGAGACTGGGAAAAGAGAGACTGGGGAAAGAGAGACTGGGGAAAGAGAAACTGGGGAAAGAGAGACTGGGGAAAGAGAGACTGGGGAAAGAGAGACTGGGGAAAGAGAGACTGGGGAAAGAGAGACTGGGGAAAGAGAGACTGGGGAAAGAGAGACTGGGGAAAGAGAGACTGGGGAAAGAGAGACGCCACCACCCAAAGCAGCGTCCATCCAAAGCAGCGTCCATCTTAGGCTTCTCCTCCTCCTTTCCACCACCTTTGGCTGCTGCACCACTCTCCTTGGGTTCACACGCCTTGCTGGTCTCTCCAAGGTTGCACTCCTTCGAGTCACTCTTGGTGTCATTTTGCTTTCCGAGACTGGGAAAAGAGAGACTGGGGAAAGAGAGACTGGGGAAAGAGAGACTGGGGAAAGAGAGACTGGGAAAAGAGAGACTGGGGAAAGAGAGACTGGGGAAAGAGAGACTGGGGAAAGAGAGACTGGGGAAAGAGAGACTGGGAAAAGAGAGACTGGGGAAAGAGAGACTGGGGAAAGAGAGACTGGGAAAAGAGAGACTGGGGAAAGAGAGACTGGGGAAAGAGAGACTAGGGAAAGAGAGACTGGGGAAAGAGAGACTGGGGAAAGAGAGACTGGGGAAAGAGAGACTGGGGAAAGAGAGACTGGGGAAAGAGAGACTGGGGAAAGAGAGACTGGGGAAAGAGAGCCTGGGAAAAGAGAGACTGGGGAAAGAGAGACTTGGATGGATGTTTGTTTGGATGGACGCTGCTTTGGATGGACGCTGCTTTGGATGGACGCTGCTTTGGATGGATGTTGCTCCCGATCATACTGGTGCTCCCCCTCCTTCCGCCCCGACTGTCCCGACCGCATTCGACCCTCCAAATCCCCCCACTGTCTGGCGCTGTCATTCGACGAGCGGCCACATGAAAAAAATGCCAGCTTTTGAAATGATTTTTTTTCAGCATGCCTGGCCACCGAACTTACGATTGCAATACAATAAAGGCAGCACGTGCCAATTTTTGTGTGCGCAATAATGGAGTGAATCAGGCAGCCAATTGCAAGGCAAAAAACGAGACTTGCTAGTGATTGGGGATCTAGCTGGTGAAAAGGGAAAGTTCCGGAAGCGACCGCAGGATCCAGGGAAAAATAATTTTGATGTACCTAATTTGACATGAGCAGGAGGAAACTGTAAGGGAAGATCTCCACCTCATGACCAAAGTTTTCTTGGGGAAACCTCACTCTGCGAAAATATACTCTGCTGAGACGGGGAAACTCCTTCAAGACATCGAAAATTACATTGTTTTGTTAAAATTTCCTATAAGATGCTTTATTGAATGCTTATGATTTTCGTGGGTCCTGAGCCTTGAAGAAATTCCAAGACTGGCTCCAACTGAAGCATAAAATGAAGGAGATTGTACCGGTATTGGAAAATGTGGGGGAAAATCTAACGAGTATCGAAAGGAGCCGACCTTTCCACGCAGTCAATGTTCTCCCCTGCCACTAGCCCACAGTGCTAGCCTGGTGCCCACGGAAGCAGTCGGTGGAGCTGAAGATGATCAGGGGGAAGTCGGGTGCCTATAGGAAGCTGCAAAAACCTTGAACCTCCTCCAGATGCAACCAGCTCGGAAGTTTCGACTTCAATGACATAAACAGTTGTTAGGGAAACTTTGGGCCTTGGGAAAGAACCCTTCTCCAAGCAAACACAACCATCTGCTAGCTGAGGACTAGGCATCAATCAACAGGTGTGTACGGAATATTGGGATGTACCATATGATCCTATCAATGAAACTATCTTTGGGTACTTCGAGCAATGTCTGCCCCTCGTGCTCGAGGTCATCTGCTAAGGGCGGCACCTCCAAGCACTTATGGACCGCAGAGTGTTGCAGACCGTATGCGACAAGGCAGCAATCGACCGACTTCGAGAAGAATGCAA